GTAATGTTATTTTGACATCCCAGGGCGAAACCAAGTATTTTTCAGTCCATCAGAATTTTCAGTCCTGCAGAATTTTCAAAATTACTTACAAATATTTATGTCCATAGCATTGCTATAAAGACATTTAAGTACTTATTTCAAACTAAAAGATTTGTTTCAAAGTATTATCTGAGGTTTGGGGGATTCTTTTTAAATGGAGATACTTTTTCTATCTGTATGTGAGTTTAATAGAAAAATAGGAAGCTGCTTTTTATTAAATTAAACCCAACCTGGCTTACAGTAATTTTATTTACATTATTAAGGCTTCAAGGCTTCGAGATGCATGAATTAGCTTATAGCCAGTTATTCGCTTATATTAGCCTATAGCTTTTAACTTTTTATTAAAGTTGAAAAATACACAGATAAAAACTAAGACAAAGAAAAATATAAAAAGTAAAAAAAAAAGTGGCAAGAACAACAAAGACAACAGAAATAAGAAAAGAGAAATGACTTCCCTTTACATCAAGACAATTTCTTTTTTTTTAAGTTTTATTTGGGTTTTCACACACACACAAAAAACATAATACAAGTAAAACATCTTTTTTGAAAATAGCATGGTCCCGGGTTACACTTCTTTATACAGACACAGATGTATGATTTTTTTTTTAATAATCAGATGTATGATTTTTTTTTATTTGGGTTTTCACACATACAAAATACAAGTAAAACATCTTTTTTGAAAATAGCATGGTCCCGGGTTGAACTTTATACAGACACAAAACTCAATTTCATGCTCATTTTTGTGTTCTATTCCATATCTTATTACTATTTTACATTTTCTGCATAGCTTCTACCATCTTTTAATTTTCTCAACTTTATTTTGATTATCTCATCTCAATTCAAATCATTATATTTATACTTTTGTCTGTCCTGTTTCAATTTCATATTATCTTTTCTCATTAAACAAATTTTCTCCTGTAGTTACTAATTGGAGTATGACACCTTTTTATCTTTTAATTTTATCCATTCAACTCTTATTTAAACTTCAATGTATACCTTAAGGTTATAACATTCAATATAATACATAATACATAACTTCCAATTAAATTCTGCTTGGTACATTCTTAAAAGACACACTATATTCTTTAAAAAAAGGATTATAAATATATGTAATTAAAACCCTCATTCCATTCCAATTCAGTTCTATCATTAATATTCATTTAAGTCTTAACATCTTTAACATTTCTTTTCCATTAAATATCTTACTTCCTTGGGGACACATATAATCTTTCCATAATTAATTTTTCCCCTATTTCTCTTCGCTTATGTTTTATAAATTATTAAATATTCATTTTATTACTTTTATTTATTAACAAACATTCCACTAAATTACAATAACTATTTTATCCATCATTTTAATCATACATTGTTTCATATTTTCTGAAATTATTTCTATTTCTAATATAACAATACTATCTTATGTACCTTTTTCAATTAGATTTTCACCCATTATCTCAAAAAAGGCCCTGTTTCTCTATATTTTGTTTCTGTCCTTTATAACTTCCTTTCTTTCTTCCCTCTCTTCTTCTCCCTCCCCTTTTTACCACCTTGTCTCTCTACTTCTAATTCTCTCTTCTGCATTTCCCTCTTCCATTGCTTTCTAATTTTATACTTATTTTTCGAACTATTCTTTTTGGGGGTTGTTTTTCCAAATCTTAAAACTTTTCATTCTCTTGTTCATTTACTTGTTCAATTACTTGTTCATTAAAGATGGCTTCTTCTTTGTCCCAATCTTCTTGTTCTGCAGGCGTTTCTTGTTGTTTCTCATTGTTCCAAATCTCCATTTCTAAGAATTGAAATACAAAGCCAAAAGAACCTCTCCTTTCTTGTGCATCTTCTTTGTACTTTTTAAGTTCCGTTTTCAGTTCATCTAAAAGTGGTGCCATTTTAAACACTTTTAAACAACCACCCGATTGATTTTAGTCATTCAAATGCAGTAACCAAAAATCCAGAAGTCACCAAGTAATCCAAATACTCCTGAGCTGTTTCTTCTTACTTCTTTTTTCACTTTCTCTTCCTGGGGTTTTACTATTTTGTTGCCATGTTTCAGTTAAAATATATCTTTTAGAAGTCTTGTTGAGATTTTGCTATAAGTTCTTTTTAATTCCAGGCAGTCTCCTCCCTTCCAGATCCTGCTCTTTTATTCTTTTTCTCTCCTTTCCTGCTTTCAAAAGCTTTTAAATATCCAGAAATCTTTATTATCCCCTTGACATTTTATTTTCAGCTTAAATGCCTATTAATGTCAAAGCGGATTTTTTTTTCCAGTTTCTTGGTTAAGGCTCTTAGCTGTCAGTATAGGGAAAAGAAGAGGAGAAAAAAAAAACAAATCGTTTCCCTTTTCTCTCTCCTTCGCTGCTTGAAAATCTTCTTTGGGGAAAGTGTTATTTATTTTTTTTATAGTTTAAATTCCAGGGTACCTTATTTGTTGCTTTTGCTGTTTGACCCAGTCAACCAAAACTTTCTCTTCTTATCTTTCTCCTGCACATTCTTTTCCGGTCGAGTTCTTCTTTGGGGTGGCCATTTCTGACCACCGCTACAACCGCCTTCAGGAAAGGGAGTAATGGCCAGCTGAGGAGGAGAGATGCGGCTCTCCTCAACCCTGCAGGGAGTTTCCCCCTCTTCACCACCTCTACGGGGTGGTTTACCCCGAAACCAGCTGGCTTGGGGCGCTCCAGCGGCGAGCATGGATCGAAACCACGCAGAGTCGCGGTTTCGGTCTGTCACTGAAGAAGCTCAAACTGGAAGCCACATCAAGACAATTTCAATAATTTATCACTTTTTCTAACATTCCAACCAAAAATATCTAAATGTCTTATGGAGATCCTCAGTTCTCCAGATCATAGTTGTCGCAAAGGTGCTTTTTCAAAAGGCAACTGTACTGAAGAAGCTTCTGGATGAGAAGCGGAATATCTTCAAGGAAAAACAAAGAAAGTCCAGTTGCCTCTTGAAAAGACACTTTTGGTTCAAAGAAAGATCTCTTCATTGCATATCTTATCTCTTATCTATACACAAACTATAAAGCCTTGTCATTCGATCTTAACCAGCAAAACTCCATTAAGAGTTACCAGAAATAACAACACGTATATATTCATTTTAATGAAATAAATCGATTTCATACTGCTTTACTTTTAATACAGTAGCTTATTTTCTTTAAAAACACAACAAAAAATTTCTTTGCCCCATATTTTATCTCTTATGTATAAACGAATATTTAAACCCTCATCATTTAAACTTAGTCAATGCACATTCGTTTAGAGCTACCAGAAACAAGAACAAATTAAAAACCTTCATCTTTAATCTCTTGAAAGAATGTCCCACAAGTTAATTTTATTGAAGACTCCCAGCTGCAGCTTGAACAAAGTTGACTGCCTGTCGCGTTGAGCGACCGGTCTGTTGTTTCGATCTTCTGGTTGATTCCTGAATTCCTCTCAGAACGGGACCCTCGCAAGAGTGAGATACAGAGAAGCCCTTGCAAGGGCGAAGTTTGGCAAAAGCAGGACCCTATCCAGGGTGAGTTTAAGCAGCGTAACCCTAGCCAGGGTGATTGAGGGACTCTCGCAAGAGTGATTGCAAAGCAGAAACAAAAAAGAACACAAGACGAAGATTTCTTTAGGTGAGACAGCGCATCGCCTGGGGCAGATGGAATTGTCCCAGTTGAGCCTGAGACAGATGGAATGTTCAGGCTGCCAGCTTGCTCTACGCTGTCCTCTTTTATTATGCTGAATCAAAGAAGGGGGGTGAGGGATTACAGAAAGACAAAGAAGTTACAAACTTTATCTTTGAGTCCAGGTTACGTGATACAAGTAACGAACTTTGTGACTGAATACACATCTTTTATCTGACACAGACCTCTGTGTTAATCTTATCAACTTCAGCTTCTTCCTGTCAGTTTGGTGAACTTTGCTCTGAGAGGTATACGTGCTGAGCAGGATTTCTCTTATGGAAAAATACTGAGACAGAATAGCCACAACTGCCCTTCAGCTCTCAGTGCTCCAAACCTGTGTTGTTGTTTTTGGGACACAAGTCATGTTCCACTCTTTGTGATTCCCATGGACCATAGCACACCAGGCCCCCTGGTCCGTCACTATCTTCCAGGGTTTGCCCAAATCTCATCTCATCCTCTGTAATTTCCTTTTGCTTTTGCCTTCAATCTTTCCCAACATACATAATAATACAAACCTGTAGGAGATTGCTATTTTATGGTTTTTTTCCAAGGGAGCAACTGTTTTGAGCACTTCTGGGTGATCCCAGCTTCCCTCCTTTATCTGGGGAGAAGTTTTGAGGTGTCAATCCATCTGTTGGCGCCTTGTTCTGTAACAGTCATCAACTCTGCCAAAAGCAAAGCTACCATTGCTTCCCCAGAAGTCCAGTTTATAACCTTCTTATCCATGGATGGGTGCACCTGGCCTAACTCTGTACAGATGTAAATTTAAAACCAGTCCTTTAATATATTTGGGGAGACAAAGGTGAATCCTAGGTCTGAATAACTGACTGGCAGTGATATACCCTGATCAGTAGTGGGATTCAAATTTTTTTACTACTGGTTCTGTGGCCGTGGCTTGGTGGGCGTAGCTTGGTGGGCATGCAGGGGAAGGTTACTGCAAAATCCCCATTCCCTCCCCACCCCACTAACCTGCTTTCCAGCTCCATTCTCCTGTGCAGGGCAACAAAAGAAGACCTAGCCAATCAGCTGGGACTCGGGAGGCAGAGAATAGATGGGGGTGGGGCCAGTCAGAGGAGGTATTGGCTGGTTCCCCAAACTACTCAGAATTTCCGCTACTATAAAAATATCGCTAGTTTTGTCACTGTATTACATTCCTCAGATGCATTTCAAATTAATGTTTTGAATATATTGATTATATATATATATTGATTGTTAGTAACATTAACCAATTTCTTTCTTTTAAAAGGAACATTGATAGATGAATTGCGTTTCAACATTCTGTTTCTTCTTCCTATAGATGTTCCTGTTGAGAAACTTGCTTGCATGGAATCTCTGCAGTGTGTGAACTTAAAATCCAACCCATTGAATGAGGAGGTTCGGGTAATTGCCAAGCCACTAATCAAGTTTGACCTTCTGACATCTCCAACTGTTCCACAAATTTGAAGCCACGTCTGACCTGGATTTGCAGCCGTAGGAAGTTGCAGTGAAAGAGGGAAAGGAAATGCCACATTTGCTGAGCTACACCACTCCTAAGCTGCATCGCTCTGCATGGGTTAGGTTTATGAGCTTCCAGAGTTGCAAAAAGTGTGATGATTTTTTTTTTGCAAAGTGATGGCGGTTGCAGCCAGAACTATTATGTGCTAAACTGTGGATCCATAGAAAATAGGTGACTAGAGAGGACACTTTTCATTGAATGGTGAAAAGGAGAGAAGGGAGGACAGTGCCTTTCTAGGCCGTAACCACAGAGAAAGAGGAAGGGCAAAAGTGACCAACTGTGTGCCTAGGAAATGTTTAGATGGTGTGGATGTGTATAGCTGAGAAAAGAGGAAATCAATCTGTGATTGGAAAATTGCTTGCAAGTTCATGAAAAAAGAACAGTTTTCAACTTGGGTGAATTTAGATTCCATTCTTTCAAGTTTTATCTTCTCCACTTATATGCAAGGAAAACCAAGGAGCACTTGTTTCTTTACTTACAGTGTTTGCAGAGGACAATTAAATACATCAAGGATAAATATACATCTAGATTCAGAGACACTCTAAAAGATTAATGTGGTCTCAAGAGTACAAAATATAACCTATTAGCTGTCAGGTGCAAAAGATTAGGATGATACATTAAGTTACAACATAGAAAATTTATTCAAGCCTACACACAAGAATCTAGTCAAGTAAAGTTCAGTACTTAATTGGCGATAAGTATCAGCAGAATTTAAGAGGAGTTAGACTTGGACTGTTTCTGGGAATATAACAACTCTAAGCTGATGACAAATTTAACTCCACCCACTAGTTCCGTCAGCTCTTCACCTACATAAACTAAGCTATTCGGTAAAGATATGGATGTAAATCTAATTCTAGTTCAAAACTATTATTATCTACCTGGAAGTAAATTCTTCTGATAATTTTTGTGCTGTATGAAACAATATTTAAATTTGTTACAGTTATTTGATTTACATTGGTTTGTGCTTCCAGTAGCCTGTGACATCATTTGTGGATTTTGTGCCCTTTATTTATGAAGCATCTTTAGCTGTATCTTTCTTGAAATGAAATGCTCTGTTGTTCCTTAATCACCCTGAAGAAAGAAGCCTGGGATTACTTTTGTTGTCCTCAATTATGGAGTTTTCCATTTCATCCCTTGTTACCGTACAACTTGAATTGACAGCTTGTTATTTATTTTGCTTGTTAGTTATTTTGACAGCCGTTTTTGCAGAAGCATCTTTAGACACACAGTCCTGGAAGACACACTCACCAAATGCCACTTTCAAGATAAAACTAGTGGAAATTTCTAAACAATAAAGATTCTTGGGAATTGCAGAATATTTCTGCACACAGATGGATAGGTAAAGTGCCAGGATCAGATCATACACATTCTGCCTTTAGATGAGGACTGTATGAAATGTATTTTTCTGATCCAAAGAATGGTTGCTGGATATTCCTATGAAGAAAACTAAAGGAGGCACCTCCAGAGTTTGCACTAGTTAATCCCAGTCTTCAAAAACCAAGCAAACCTATAAAGGAGAATATTTGTAGCTCAGGGTTGAAATGAGGGGGTCCTTGGTGCTCTCTGAACCTGTTTGTTTTCTTGCAGATGTTTCATTACCCAAACTACTACATGGCATCATCAATGCTAATCACTAGCACTGATGATGTTACCTAGTTAGGGTAATGAAATGTCTGCAAGAAAACAACCAGGCTCAGAACTGAAGAAGCTTCTTGGGTGAGAAGCGAAGTGTCTTCAAGGAAAAATAAAGGAAGCCCAGTTGCCTCTTGAAAAGCACCATTGGGACAAGCATGACCTGGATCAGAGGTCTCCAAACTTGGGCAAGTTTAAGACTTGTGGACTTCAACTCCCAGAATTGCTTAATGAATTCTGGGAGTTGAAGTCCACAAGTCTTAAACTTGCCAAGTTTGGGGACCCCTGACCTGGAAGACTGAGTGTGATAATAATAATAATAAAAAAACACCAACTGAAATCTGGAGACATGTGAACAATATATAAGAGCTTTATTATTAAGCTTTAGCAAAAGGGAATTCTACTCATGGCAGGAGACATGGTTCCCAGGAAGGCTGGGGTTTATATACAGGTTCAAATATACAGTCTCTGCCCCTTTCCTGGATTCACAATCTATCCAAGCTACATATCTCCCTATGCCACACCCTTATTATTGTAGCATACCACCTGTTTCCTTGTCCTTGGAAACTACTCTCGTTCTCATGGCTTCTTCCTGTTATGGTCCTGTTATGACTATCTAAGCACAATGGATCATTAACAGATTTCCGTTGGGTCAGAAGAACCCAGCATCTCTCACATTTATCTATAAGCCAAGATTACAAACACCTATTCCAGCCAAGAACCTTACATTTTATTTTTAAAACATAAGTTACAAAACAGTACATGTTTATTAGATATAGTTATATAACTGTCCAATAATCATTTCATAGTTCAAATATTGGATAAGTATGGCTTCCCTTCTGTTCTTCATTTTCTCAGGTATAACTTACAATATATAATTTCCACATATAACACTGAGAATCTTCATAGACAATCAGGTTCAGAGAGCACCAAGGACCCCTCACCAAGCAAGCCTCTTTATCTCCATAGTTGCTTAATTGCAACTGGGTTGCTTAATTACTGTAATCCAGGAAGGGATTTTGATCCAACTTCTGCACTTCCTGGGAAGACTGTTAGATAACACTTATTTTGTGTCTCCCACATAAACACATTTGCCTAGAGATAGAAAGCGGATGAAATGTCATCCCGTTTCGCTGGTCAGTTACCTTATGTGCTAAGGCCCTGTTCAGGCCTTAGCTTGAATGCATGAGTATGTGACATGGGAACAGGCCAACTACCCACTTCCAAACCAGAAGACATTTAAGCAAATGTGATAGAGTAACTGGCATAGAAAAAGAAGTGTGGCTTCCTTTGATAAAGTTCTATATCTCTGTGGCTTCTTCCTTACTCCCATTTTAATCAATTGAGTCTGTTGAAAGACTCCTTGTTCTTTGAGATAGTGGCTACTAATGGGCTCTTCTTTCCTTGACTGTTCCCAGCAGGTTTAACGATTTGCACCCTGAATGGAATCTTGCTAAATTTAGCAGGGAGATTAAAAGGACAGGAAATGACTGGTGGGATATAATTTCAACATTTGAATTTAACAAAATTCAGAAGATTGGTTTTATACGGTAGATATGAACAGTAATGTCAGTTCGCCATTATTCTTCATCAGAAATGAGTTTATTCCCATTTGAGAAAATAAAAGGACTGGAACTTTGCAGGCGATACAATCACTTTTATAATTTGCTGATCCCTTGTAGACCTGTGAATGAAGTGTTACTGTGTTGTGTATTTAAATGGAAACCTATATTTAATCTTTGCCCCTGGAACAACCTGGCACCCATAGGAATATTTAGTAAAAGTAAAACGTGGGTTTATTTGCTGCCTTATTTTTAAAAATCTAAAAAAAACTGCATGAAATTCTCATTTTAAATAGCTACAGCATAGTAAAACCCAGTTGTAGTTTATTGGGAGGTGGGAGAGACATTCTTGAGAAATGTCCCTTCCCTGCCTTCTCCCCCCCCCCTTTTTTTTTCTTCCTTTCAGAGTGTAATTGTCAAGATTCTGTATTTTGACAATAAAGAACCTGAGTTTGGGAAATCAAGTGGCTTCTCCGAGTGATTTTGTGCAGATACTGAAATACCAGATTCATAGAAGAAAATCCAGGAAGATTTCTCAAACCAGACATGATATTTTTCCGATTAAAATCGAAATTCCGATTTTTTTGGGAATCACCCGGGTGGTGCGAGCGGCGGGTGGCGCGAGCGGCGGGCGGGCAGTGCGAGCGGCGGGCGGTGCGAGCGGCGGGCGGGCGGGCGATTTCTTGGCACGCGGTGGGGGGTCTCTTTTGGCCGGCCCCGATTTTTTTTTCAGAGGGGAATATCATGCCTGTCAAGCATACTGTCTAACTCTAAAATCTATCCACAAGGAGAAACGTAGAATCACCACACAATAACCTCCCCCAAAATCTTGCCTCAGTTCAGTAAGATTGTTCAGAAGCATACTATAGTCAATAACAGAAGTGGGCAACTATGGCTGTTTTACAACCTGTGGATTTCAACTGGCTCAGGAATTCTGGGAGTTGAAGTCATCAGGTCATCAAGGGGCCATAGTTGTCCACCCCTGGTCAGTAATACAAGAGCAGTCGAGGTCCAACAGAATCATTCTATAAATCTTACTTCCAGCAAAAACCTTGTAGTGGCTAAGAAGGAGACTGCCATTCCAAAGTTGGAGCCGGAGTAAACTGGATCCAGATGAAATGTTCCACTTAGGCAATCATGAAGTTGGATCAGCAAGATACACTCTAGGATAGAGGGGTCAAAATCAAGGACCATGGGCCCACAAAGGGTGCCCTGGAAACAGCAAAGGACCAGCCTGTGGTGCCTGTGCCAGCGAAAACCGAGTGGCCCTCCCGAGCTCCGTTTTTGCTGGCAGAGGGTTTCAGAAGGCTGTCCCAAGACATGGGAACCGTTTTCACTGGCAGAGTGCTTGAGCCACCATAGGTGCCCCTGACACGAGTGATGTCAAGCTGGCCACACCCACCATGCCCCCCCCCAGGACAAACACAACCAGGGGTGGGATTCTACTGGTTCGGATCAATTCGGGCAAACCGGATGTTAAGGTTACACCTGGTTCGCTGAACCAGTATTTCAATCTAAACTAGATATTCACTTTCTTTAAGAATTTTGGAATAAAAAGTTGGATTAGTGCAATTCACTTGTTAAGGGTTTTACAGATTAAGTATTTCTCCTGTGAATTTAAGATGATTTTAATTCAAGGAAAGATCTACTTCCAAGCTTATTAGAACGCCACACAGAATGAATGCTAAAAGGGATTAGTTGTTGACTTCAGTATGCTGGAATTGTAAAATAATTGAAGCGAACTTACATCCATTAATTTGCTAATATGGTTTAAGCATGTGAATATGAATTTTGAATGTATCCTTATATTAAAAAATTTGAATTCACTGAACATGAGGTGTAGCCAAAAGAAAAAAAGATTATTATTTTACCACAGAAAGATGCCACTAGTTTAGATTTGCAATCTTATACTGCTGTGTGTTTGCTCTGTTAATGAGCTGGCTTGTATCCCTGACATGGAACCATTTACCAATGTTACTCTCTGTGGCTACTGTTCTGTTTAAAATCATTGTTAATTACTGAGAGTGCTACAGGATCGACAGTTTCTTTCCTCTACCGTCAGTGGTAGGATTCAATTTCTTTTACTACCAGTTCTGCGGGGGTGGCTTGGTGGGCGTAGCAAGGGAAGGATACTCTAAAATCTCCAGTCAGAGGTGGTATTTGTCGGTTCTCTGAACTACTCAAAATTTCCACTACCGGTTCTTCAGAACTGGTCGGAACCTGCTGAATGCCACCTCTGTCTACCATCTATGGTCCCTTTATAACTTGTGGACTTGAACTCCCAAAATTCCTAAGTGTTGTGGTTAGCCAGCAGCAGGTGCAGATGGCTGAGGAGAGCAATGACTCTGATGAGGGGCCAGGACCATCAGGGAGTGGACTGCTGCCTTCAGAGATTTTGGGGGCTGGCAGCAGTGACGAGGAGGTTCCCAAGGAGCCTGTGCCAAGTGCATGTGCATGAAGGATTACTCGGAGGAAAGTACAATTATAGCAGCACAGGCGACTCGGGAGTAAGGCTACAAGGTAATGGCCCCTCCCTCAAGAGGATAA